ATAAGCGCCTCGGCGACGTCGCCGAGCCTTTTTCTAAAATATATATATATATATAAATAAATATATAAATATATAAATAAATAAATAAATATTATTTTATTATTATTATTCGTTCCGCCCAGTAACGGGCGGTCCGCGTACTAGTATACCGTCGGACCGGTATGTACCGCCCGTACCGGACGGTATTATTCGGTATTGCTTACCTTGCCTAGCTCATTAAATTATACCTTAAAAAGAATTAATCCTCCTCAATCATGAAAAGTTTTTTAACATAAGCTAAATGCATGAAAAATAGAAGGAATCAAGTTCAGGATCTGAATGTGAAATTACCTAGGGAGAGAAACATGCTTCCTATCTAACGGAATGCCAAATCCACTTTTACCACCATTCTCCTCGAGGTATGCAAATTGCTTTCTAAACTGATCTACAGCACTGCATAAAAAGAAAGCAGAAAATGTTACCAAGAACGAGAATGTCAGTGATGTGTTGTGTATGATTAGGAAATGAAGGGAATAAATATCTGAAATTCAGAACCTAGGATATAGAAAATTTGTCTTTTCAGTTCCATTAACTTTGTCTTTAAGCAGCTGAGGATGATATTCTAATATCTCAAGGAAGATTAGCTCTTGTACGTCTTCTTTGGTCAATCTTCGACACTCAAACTCAAATTCCATTTTCGTGATTGATTGGCAAGATGGTTCTCTCTCTATTTTCGCAAGACCTTTGAAATATGGATCAGCTAATGCCTGATAAACCAGAAGGAAACATGATATCTTATGCAAAAATCATGTATGAATAAATACTATATATTATCATATTAAGATCATGAAATTCTATAAAAAAGATTGCAAGAAATAACTTGGTGACAAACAAAAAATATAATGTGAATCTATTTGGAAATGCGTACTTCTTCAGCAGTTGGCCGCTTGCTAGGGTCAAATGACAAAAGCCTCTCCAAAAGTTTCAATGCCAAAGGATCTGCATTTGGGAATTTCTGTGCAAGTGGTACAGACTGTTTTTTCCTCATGCAGCTCAGGTATCTCCTTGCCTTCTCATTCCGAACCTATAGCAAAAAAGAAAGAAAAAGGATTTGTGAATGTAATTGATTTTTGTTTTTTTGCATCTAGAAAAGGCACCTTCCACTATAAAGTTCCGAAGCAACTACCATACCCGAGAAATTGTATCCAAGGAAGGTGTTCCCAGAAGATCAGTCATCAAATCTAACTGATGAACCACATTTTTTCCAGGGAAAAGAGGCTTGCTTGTCAATACCTCAGCAAAAATGCAGCCAATGCTCCAAATATCGATAGCAGCAGTATACTGCGATTTTAGAACGCAATCAATCAATATCTCTTTGACAATGAAAATTTTACAGTCCAAAAATATAAACTAACATAGGAAAAAATAAATACTGGTACCTGCCATTGTATTTCAACTTGCGGGGCAATTCAAAATTGTTCCTGAACAGGCAGTTTTTTTAATTATGAAACTATTTTATTCTTCAAAAGTTTTATGGAGACTCCCACCAAACCAAAACAACTGCTAAAATAACCAAACTCATCAATCATCCCAAGTTTAGAATGTTCTGAGCGGTCAGCAAATAAAGTACCAAGTAAATCAATTACCAAAGAATCATCATCAGATGAAAAAATTGGTAGAGAATAATTAAAATAAAAATCATGATCACTGTTATGCCAGCAAGCTGGTGACCCAGATCCACTTCCGTACGAAACAAAGGCATAGGCGTATACCCAAGAAAAAGGCCAAAAAACAAAAAATGAGCATGTACATGAAAAGAGCAATGATGATAAATTCGAAGTAAAACTGTCTTTTAGAAGTTCATTGGTGCTTCCGTTATTTTTCTGCAATGTCGGAGAACATATCATATGGTAGCTCATCTAATAGCATCAAAAATTGAAGTATTATCTTCTGGTGCATGTCAGGAAGGATTTCTTTCCTAGTTTAGTAGTCGCATAGAAGTGAAGAACAAGTTTACAAAACAAGAACACAAGCTCAAGCCTACATGCATAACCATATGGTTGTGGATCAGATCTTCATAACATGAAAATAAACCTATCATATAGTCTGATATAGGATTGACAATGGTTTTAAACAGTTGTTCTAGCACAAGAAATACATGCATGATTGTAAGATGTGTTTGCATAATATACTTTAAGCACCAAACATAATAGCAAAAGACTAATGCCTATACCTTGGAAAAGAATGATCCACATAACTCAGGAGCCCTATACCATCTGGTTGCAACATAATCCTGTCATATGTTAGTGATATAGAGTTAAGAATATATAATGTCATTGCTTCCTTCAAATGGCAAAACAAGCAATCAAGAATATACGACCCATAACAGAATAGCAAGTTGTTGTAATGGAAAACAAAGAAAAAAAGAATTATCATCCTTTTAACATACCGTCCAAAATATTGTTGTGGGGGTATCACCGAATGCAACTCTTGCTAGTCCAAAATCACAAATTTTCAGTTTGCAGTTTGCATTTGCTAGTATATTCTTTGGCTTTAAATCACGATGATAGACATTGGCTAGACACAGAAGATTTAGTGTCAGTACATTAGCTCTTAAATGTTAATCAGCATCCAGCACAAGAATAAACATGGCTGAAAGAAAAGATAATTAGAGTCACAACTTAAAAGAGATAAACCATATAAGTTAGAACTGTTGAATGGTCAAACGAAAACATTGGAAATATCACCGAAGTATGTTTAGTACCAAAAATTTTCAACCATCACATATTTTGAGCATATAGAAGAATAATACATCACAACTACACTAAGTATTCTGACATGACAAAGTGAAGATTACAACAAGAACAATCCAAAATTTGACATGACAAAGTCTGTTTCTTCTAGCTTGTAAATCTTGATACTATTGGATTGTGAAGTTCGAGTGGCAAATAATGTGCAAAACATGCCAAAACAACGACTTAAATCAGACATATCGGTAGAACAAAAACAATAAAAAAGGCTGAAAGATTTTATTGTTCAGACAATTTTGGTAGAAAATAATATCTAGGAAAAATATGTGACTGACAAAGAAATAACTAAAAGTTGCATTTATCCACATCAATTTGTGGTTGTTTAAATATGTGAGAGTTTACCTGTGTGGATATATTTAAGTGCACGGAGCAGCTGATAAAGAAAAAATCGATAGTGTTCTCTTGTTAAATCATCATTTGCCTTGATGACTTGGTGAAGATCTGACTCCATGAGCTCAAAAACAACATATATGTCATTGAAATCCCTCCTCGACAGAGGTAAAATGATGTGTTTGATCTCCACTATATCAGGATGTCTTAAAAGACGGAGAAGTTTGATCTCACGAAGAATTCGAACTGCATCGGATATGTGTCCAAAAATATCATGTATCCTCTTGATAGCCACCTTCTGTCCAGTATGTGTATCAATTGCTGAGCAGACCACTCCATAGCTACCTTTGCCAATAACCTCCTGAATTTTGTATCTATTGGCATCCCCATACTCACTGAAAAAATCCAGTTCTGGTGAATTCTGCAGAAGACAATGAATTGCCATAACAGTTCAAGGTGAGAAGCAGCAAAATACTTTTATTTGTTTTAGCTTTGCAAAAATACAAATTTGTATATGAAAAAAAAATGACTACAAACACTAATTTGTATAAAAACACTGGCATTTTATTATGGAATCATAAACTCCTCAATCTCTCTAAAAGACAACAATTATCAAAGATGAAAATAACCTGAAGTATGTCAGGGTTGAAAATATCAAATTTGAGAAGCTGTCATTTCTGTCAACTACAATAAACTGTCAATAAAATTATGGTGTAAATTCTAGTTCTTAAAAAATGCAGTAAAGATTACAACAAACAACACAGTCCTCAGGATACTATTCCATAGACACCATGGAGGCCACCAGCATGAATCAACTGCTAATGCAACTAATTTTTTGCAAGAAATTGCGACTTGGACACATCACAAATTACAGCAAATGGACTTCTAATCAATATTGATAACGTGAGTTTCTAAATGGAAAAGGATTCTTGAATAATGAGATCAAAATAGTATAAAAAAGGTTGGCTAACACATACAAAACTTGTCATACATATATATACTATTCTATATTGCAAGGTAATTTTGTATTTGTAAACATACAGCTAAAGTACCGCCTGCATGACTTAAATAGAACAGGAAAATTCACATGAGACCATATATTAAAATCAAATTGACTGGTCAATCGATTTATTTGAACAGCATTAAGCAATTTCATTTCCTTAAGTTTCAGATATGATTTCTGTAACTTGTGTGTATTTCAGAATAGCATCAAGCCACCATCTCATAACATCATAAGCATCCCACCAATAACTCAGATCGTCATTACCAATTCAGAACATGGGAGCATAACCAAATGAAATCCAGAGGTAATCTATATGAATATAATCAAATACAAACGAATGCCCTCCTTTGCCAACTGAAAGTGTGCAAAATCCTCAGGAAGTCCGTGATTCTGCAGATGGCAACCCAGCCAACATGTATGTACATTCAGCAATTGCAAGCATTGCCAAGAATCAAAGCAAAAGCAATAAAAAGGGAATCTCTAGCATACCCACTGCAGTTGCTTGGCTGTGTTTTGGAGGAAAGTTAAATTGACTTCGAGACAAGTATTTTGCAGGTAAATTATGCAACCTTCACAGGTACATCTACTTCATACACATACATATATATATAGAGAGAAAGATAATAGCAAACTGATCTCCAGTATCGAATTCACAAATTGATCATAAATCGCCACACATTGACCACTTGACCCAATTCAAAGAGCCATTAAATGGACTTCACCAATAAGGAAAGGCTGAAGAAAATTGCAAAAGTAGAATGAAAATAGATTAAATGGACTTCACCAACAGATCGATACAGAGAAGGAGATGACGATCAAAGCACGGAACAAGAACAAACCGACCTTCTTTCGCTGATCTTGCTGCATTTTTGCGAGTCGTCGTCGCTCGATTCGCAGAACGAAACAATCCTTCTTCTTTATTTTTTTCTCGTTTCCTTCCTTTACTATTCTCTCACCCTGTCACCGCAGAATTCCGCACAAGATGGAGATCAAAAACAACGAACATCCGTTGTAATCATCCGCATTTGCCCCACCTGCTCCTGTTCCGGAACACAAAACCCCAAGTCCCGCGCTACCCACCGACGATCTCTCAACGCAACGCAAGCGACGAGGACGCGGGCCGCCACGACGATAGAGAGCGGGAGGATCCCCGCAGCGCCCTCACCCTCGTCCTCTTCGTCCTGCTCTCGGACTCCTGCATCCCCGTCACACAGCGATCCGGCCCCGCTACGCTCCAAATCGAGACCAAACTCTTCCGTTCATGGGGCCCCAAGGCCGAGACGGATCACCGCGCGTGCTAATTCGCAACTCTTGGAGCACGAACGAATCGAACCCGACGCCAAACGCTCACCGAAAGGGTTCGCTTATAGCAAGAGGAGAAGGAAGAGGGCGGCGAGCGGGCCAGCGAGAGAGAGGGAGGGAGGGAGAGAGAGAGAGAGAGAGAGAGGGGTGAGGAGTGGCCAAAGGCCTTGCTTCGATATTTATAGACGGTGGTGCCCCTCACCTTTCGAAAAGGAAATGCATACGTTTGTGGTGGTTTTTTCGTAGTTATACAAAATTCTAAGGGTAATTAATGGAATTAGGGGGGGTGGGCAGTGGTAGAGAAAGGGCCATTTGGCATGCTCAGGTTTTTGTTGCTTAAGTTAGCTCAGCTGGCGAATCGGAATATTCTTTTTCTTTTTGGCTTTCCATTTTACTGTTTGGGGAGGTTGGATATTAAATTAACTTTGAATCTTTGTGACACAATAAAAAAAATGTGTTTGTTGACTTCTCAATTATTTATTAATTATTATTTACAAATGTTATTTAATTTAATAATTTAAAATCGAGGTAGTTTTTGTTGTCTTTTTTTCCTTCTTACTTAAGTTTAATTTGTGACCACAAAAAAGAAAAAAAGAAAAAAATACCACTTAGAGCCTAAATTATTTGCTAACGTCAAGATTAACATTTATGGAATGCTATTTCTAACCAAAGAACTATGATTAATATTAACTATGGTCAATCTTCATTAGGCTATCGTGAATATGCTCATTTAAATTTTTAGTGTTTTTAATTAATTTAAAATAAAAAATCAGAACCATTGATTCTATTTCGATCCAAATTATAAGAATCGAAATCGAAATTGAGTTTAAATATAAAAGCTAATTTTATTTATTATCACTTTCAGTGTAAATAATAATCTGTAATAAAGGTCAACAACAGCAATGCAGTTGGGCTAAAAACCGTTGTTATGGTTGATATGATACAAACATCAGCATGAAACCCATGGTTACTTCAGATCTACAAATTGATGCTACCACCTAATGTTTCAGAACAAAGATGCATGCCATTTCATTGTTCCAAAGCAATGTGTGCAGAAATGTTCTGATAGCAACCTGCTACCATTCCACTGAGGTTCACCACCCAACTGCTAGTTGACTTTTGATTGATGTATTATTCTGAACAAATTGAGGAGTTAAGATTGATATTCTCTCATGTAATATTGTTAATAAGAGATCCCAGTTTGAGTCATCATAATTATATATTTATATTTAAAAGTCTTATATGGATGAGAGTCTGGTACACTAATCATGCCCTGAGTGTGGAGCAGAGTCCATGAGACAGACTGAACCTGAAGCTAACAAGAACTCCATTCTGAATCAAACTACCAATTCATGTTGCCTATTTTGTTTGATTGGTGTGAAGAGAGAGAGAGAGAGAGAGAGAGGGGTTGAAGATGAAGTCATGACTGTGTTGAATATTTGTTTCTACTCATATTCCACCTCAGAATATTGACATTGCAATCCCCAAAAACTTTCAGTAAAGGAAATGGTTGCCACATCACTATCAAATTAAAATTAAACAATTTTTTTAGCTGTTTGTATTCAAAATGGTGAAGATATGTTTTGATCTCAGTGTCTTCTGTTGGTTTGAAAAAATTAAAATTAAAATTAAATCTATATCAGTATTTTAGGTATAAACTATTTCTATTTTAATGCTATAAAATATGAGTTCATACATTGTTATAATTATCTCCAGCATTAGTTTTCAACTTCATTCCGATCTCCATCTTAAATGCATTTAATTGAAGTATCGAATGACCTGTACTCATCATATCCAACTCGGTATAGATGTGCGTGATACAAGAAATGGGTTCTAATCGATCATCTCAATTCTAACATTGTAATTGCTCAAACCAAACCAAATCAAATCTCCAGTTTGATGTGTCTCATGCAAGAAAGAAAGAGTTTCGATCATTCACATCAGATAGAGGATCAAAATCTAACAAGTAGTCGCTCGATTTGCTCCACCTTATAAGCCATAGCACATTAGAAACACAAGCACTTTTCCATGATACAAATGTTGATGAACTCTGGCCGGAAGCTCGGCATGCTCCTCCTCAATGGTCGTCTTCGGTCATGAACAATGGCATGAGGTGTTTGGCCCTCTCGATCAACATGGTCATACGATAACGCCAACAGCTGTGGCAGAGTGAACAGCGCAGCAAACAGAGAGCATGATCGAAGGAAAAAAAAGTATGACGGAGGTCCCCTCCACCCATCACTGAGACATTGATGGCAAGGAGTGAAGCTCTTAAGTTTCCATGTGACGTCCATTAGTGAAGTGAGAAGTTATTGCTGCTGCTGTAGCCTTACAACAGCCATTACACTGACTTCAGAGGTGGCACATTCTCCTCTGGCTCGTGATTGTACTTGGAGAAGCTGCATTATTATATGAACACTGTGATCGTGGAGGTTTTACTCATATTCTTTAACCAAGACATAATGATGATGAGCTCTTCCACCAAAGAGAGAAGGACATGTGCTCACCGATGTGTGACAACTCATCCCCTACCAAAGCTTAGCTTGCCTTTGATTTAGTTGGTAACACAGGGCCAACAAGTGCATAAACTTCCAAGACTGACAACTATTTAGGTGGAGCATGCATTCATAATAATGATTTATATGGTAACACAGGCCCGACAAGTGCATAAAATTCCAAGACTCTGAACTATTTAGGTGGAGTATGCATTCACAATAATGATTTATAATTCACTTGTCACCATATGGTAGAAAACTATTTTTCCTTGTGCAGATTGTCATGATATGCTGTATCGATGACGAAGGAAGAACATGAAAGGTTGGAGATAAAGAGAAGCCAAACAGTTGCTTGATTAGATGGGATTGATGGAGAGGCCAAACAAGCTTGGATTGTGGAATTAGGTGAGATGTACATCATCACCTTTCCATTTTTCTCATACCTAAAGCCTATATGTACATGTATCATGCACAACACATTGAACAGCCAACCCACCAAACTACAGAGTGGGACCAGCAGCTATGATCATTGCAATTGTATCATATCTACATATATATATATATGCATACCTTTTTTTTATGATTTGATGTACGTCAAATTACAGGCAAAGCAGGAAAAGAAAATGAATATTTATTTGTTTTCTTCTCCCTTTCTCTTGCTTCTGAGTGAAATGGGACACAACTCGAGCTTGTGTTGCCAAAGGGGCGGGATGAAGTGAATTCTGCATGTCAACTTGCACAAAGCATATCAGGAAATGTGCATACATGGAGTGGACACAAAGCCGTACAGCAATTAGGAGACGATCACTATCGATCCATATACATGATATGATTTGGGACCAAAGTGATACAGATACTGGCTGTGTTGATATGGAAGTCTCGAGTGCCTCTCGTTCTCAGCCAGCAAAACCAGTGAGACCAGCTTCGTTTTCTGGAGAAAGCATGTGATCCTTTCTCCGACAACAAGAACAAGGAAACAAGAGCAGGAGCTGTCCGTTGCGATGGAGGGAGAGGAAGAATGATATGCTGCTTGAGAGGCACGCTTGTGTCGTGGCTTGGCACGGAATGGCAGCCTGTGAACCCATCTCGTCGGTGATGTCTACAGCAAAGCAAGACGAGGTGTGGTTTTGGCCTCTGACAAGAAAGTACAGCACAGATCATCTCATTCTTATCACTCGGAACTCGATGAGGTGGAAGCCCAACAAAGAAGACATGTCTTTTGATCTTTTTGGATATAAGATACAATCTTTGATAGTTTCATTGCAGGAAGTCCTCTGGGATAATCGTGCAAGGATGTGTTATATATATCTCAAGTATCAAACTCAGATCACAATCTTCTTCTTCTTCTTCTTCTTCTTCTTCTTCTTCTTCTTCTTCTGTCATTCGAAGTATGATGACAGAAAACACTTGTCCTTTACTGCAGTGTTTGGATGTCTCCGACAGGGCATTCAATCTACATTGGATGTGGACATGGGTTAATCCTGTTGCTCTGAAACGGATTAACCACGGCTCACCAGAGCTCTGCAACTTGTCTTCTTCTTGTGGGCCTCATTCATCCGAAGAAAAGTGATCGGATGGAATGGTGCAGAAACTTGGATGCAGTAAAAAGTGATCGGCCCACTGACTCCTCCATTAAATACATCTCTCTCTTCGGCAGGCTAAGAACAAAGCTGACGAGCTTTTCACTACAATAACTCCAGCAGCTGTCACAAGGAGAACATGCTATGGTGAACAGTGTTTTGTTTCTCTGTCTTAACAGTAGTGGTTAGCCGATGACAGATCAGTTTGACTCGCATGATTGTGTTATCCGATTTATGGCCCTTCGAAGTTTGCTACGGTTCTACACACATCGGATCTATAGATGGGTTTGATTCAATGATTAGATCGTCTGAATTCAAAAAGACAGACAAAATATTATTATTATTATTATTATTATTATTATTATTTGATTATTTTTTTCCTCAAAAAGTATTTTAAGTCATTTTATTATAAAGATAAAAGAGAAGAGTATGTATTCTATGCATAACAGTGATGTAGCTATGTGATTATTAATATATATTTAAAGACTAATAAAGTGTGTTTGTTGTATGTACACTAACACATTTACCTTAACTATGTATACAATTGTAAAGAATATAAATGAATATATCATGACTAATCTAATGATTTAAGCAGTTAGATGCATTGACAATGACAAAAACTAAAATAAAATTCAAATGATACCAAGACAGAAGAAGGTCCTCTCTACCATTCATGCATTAAAATAGAAAATATATTTCTGAGCCTTGGATCATCCATTAAAGGAGCTTTGTCAACACCTCAATTTATTTGTTGGATCACCCGTACTCATACTTACAATGAGCGCTGAGAATATAAATCAAAAGATTATATCTCATTTAATTATTGAACATTTTATACAGAATAATAATATGATAACACATAATTAAAGTTTTTTAAGTCGAGAAAATAATAACTTACGGTGTATTTGATTGAATAAAGATCCGACATTGCTTTTGTTTAGTGAAAAAACCAATTCAGGTGTGTGACCTAATTAAACTTCATGAAGAAGGCTGGCTGGCCTATCTACATCAGGTTTTCATCAAAGGTAGCTGTCATGGAAACAACAGTAAGCTAAACAAGATAG